CTCTATAAGTTAGTGATGTTGAACATCTTTTGTCTTTGCCATCTGTATGTCTTCTTTGGAGAAGTGTCTTTAGGTCTTCTGTCCATTTTGTGATTGGGCTGTTTGTTTTCCTAATATTGAGCTGTATGAGTTGCTTGTTGAAGTATAGTTGATTCACAATGTTGTGTTAGTTTTAGATATACAGAAACATGATTCATATATATATATTTATCTGTTCTTTTTCAGATTCTTTTCCCATACAAATTATTACAGAATATTGAGTAGAGTTTCCCATGTAATACAGTTGGTCATTGTTGATTATCTGCTTTATATATAGTAATGTGTATATGCTAATCCCAACCTCCAACTTTATCCCTCACCCTCAGCCTTTCCCCTATTGTAACTATAAATTTGCTTTTGAAGTCTTTGAGTCTGTTTCTGTTTCATAAATAAGCTCATTTGTATCATTTTTTTAGATTCCACATATGAGTGATATCATATGATATTTGTCTTTCTCTGATTTACTTCACTTAGTATGGTAATCTATAGGTCATCCATGTTGCTGCAGATGTCATTATTTCATTCTTTTTATGGCTGATTAATATTCCATTTTACGTATGTACCACATCTTCTATATTCATTCATCTGTCTGTAGACATTTAGGTTGCTTCCATGTCTTGGCTGTTATAAATAGTGCTATAATGAACATTGGGGTGCATGTATTTTTTCAATTTATGGTTTTCTCTGGATATATGCCCAGGAGTGGGATTGCTGGATCATATGGTAGCTCTATTTTTACTTTTTAAAGGAACTTCCATACTGTTTTCCATAGTGACTTTGCCAATTTACATTCCCATGGTGTAGGAGGGTTCCATTTTCTGCACACTTTCCTCCAGCATTTGTTGTTTGTAGACTTTTTGATTGTGGCCATTCTGACCAATGTGAAGTGATACCTCATTGTAGTTTTGATTTGCCTTTCTCTAGTAATGAGCGATATTGAGTATCTTTTCATATTGGCTTTTTGGCCATCTTTATGTCTTCTTTGGAGAAATGTCTATTGAGACCTTCCACCCATTTTTTAAATAAGATTCTTTTTAAATTGAGCTGCATGGGCTGTTTGAATATTTTGGAGATTAATCCCTTGTTGGTCACTTCATTTGGAAATACTTTCACCCATTTTGTGGGTTATCTTTTCATTTTGTTACAGTTTCCTTTGCTGTACAAAAGCTTTTAAGTTTAATTAGGTCCTATTTGTTTATTTTTGTTTTCACTTCCATTACTCTAGGAAGTAGACCCAAAAAGTTATTGTTATGATTTATGTCAAAGAGTGTTCTGCCAATGTTTTCCTCTATGAGTTTTATAGTATCTAAGCTTACATTTAGGTTTTTAATCCATTTTTAGTTTATTTTTGTGTGTGATGTTAGAAAATGTTCTAATTCAATTTTTTAAATGTGAAAAGTGTAAGTGAAAGTCATTCAGCTGTGTCCGACTCTTTGTGACCCCACAGACTATACAGACCATGGAATTCTCCAGGCAAGAATACTGGAGTGGGTAGCCTTTCCCTTCTCCAGGGGATCATCCCAACCCAGGGATCGAACCCAGGTCTCTCACATTGAAAGCAGATTCTTTACCAGCTGAGTCACAAGGGAAACCCAAGAATACTAGAGCCCTTCTGCAGGGGATCTTCCCAACCCAGGAATCAAACCGGGGTTTCCTACATTGCAGGTGGATTCTTTACCAACTGAGCTACCAGGGAAGCCCTATGTAGCTGTCCAGTTTTCCCAGCACCACTTATTGAAGGCACTATCTTTTCTCCATTACATCGTCTTACCTCCTATGCTAGAGAGCAATTAACCATAGATGTGTGCATTTATTTCTGGGCTGTCTATCTTGTTGCATTGATCTCTATGTCTGTTTTTTGAGCCAGTACCATTCTGTTTTGATTAGTATAGTCAGAAGTCAGTGGCCCTAACTCCTTGAGCACCATTTTTCTTTCTCAGGATTGCTTTGGATATTCAGGTTCTTTGGTGTTTCTATACAAATTTTTTAATTTTTTGTTCCAGTTCAATAAAAAATGCCATGAGTAATTTGTAAGTTACCTTGGGTAGTATAGTTATTTTGACAATACTGATTCTTCTAATCCAAGAACATGGTATATCTTTCCATCTGTTTGCATCATCTTTTATTTCTTTCATCAGCATCTTATAGTTTTTGGAGTACAGGTCTTTGCCTCTTTTGGTAGGTTTATTCCTACATATTTTATTCCCTTTGATGTGATGGTAAATGGGATTGTTGCCTTAATTTCTTTTTCTGGTCTTTTGTTGTTAGCCCATGGAAATGCAATAGATTCCTGTGTGTTAATTTTGTATCCTGCAACTTTACTGAATTCACTGATGAGCTCTAGTGGTTTTCTTGTAGCATCTTTAGAATTTTCTGTATCATCTGCAAAGTGACAGTTTTACCTCTTCTTTTCCAATTTGGATTCCTTTTACTTCTTTTTCTTCTCTGTTTGCATGGCTAGGACTTCTAAAACTATGTTGAATAAAAGTAGTGAGAGTAAACATCGTTGTCTTCTTCTTCTTCTTAGAAGATAAACTTTCAGCTTTTCAACATTGGGCTATCTGTGGGTTTGTCATATATGTCCTTTATTATGTTGAGGTATGCTCCCTCTATGCTCACTTTTGGAGAATTTTTCTATGCTCACTTTTGGAGAATTTTTATCATAAGTGGGTTTTGAATTTTGTCAAAAACTTTTTCTGCTAAGATGCTTATATGGTTTTACTCTTCAGTTTGTTAATGTGGTGTATCACACTGATTGATTTGCGAATATTGAAAACTTCTTGCATCCCAGGTATCAGTCCTCCTCGATCATGGTGTTTGATCTTTTAATATATTATTGGGTTCAGTTTGCTAGTAGTTTGTTGAGTGTTTTTGCATGTATGGTCATCAGTGATATTGGCCTGTAATTTTCTTGTTTTGTGGTATCTTTGTCTGGTTTTGGAATCAGGGTGATGACAGCCTCAAAGAATGAGTTTAGGAGTATTCCTTCCTCTGCAATTTTTGAAGTAGTTTCAGAGGGATCGTGTTAGCTTTTCTCTAAATATTTGGTGAAATTCACCCATAAAGTTGTCTGGTTATAGACGTTTGTTTGTTGGGAGTTTTTAAATCACAGTTTCACTTTCAGTGCTTGTAATTGATCCGTTCATATTTTCTACTTCTTTCTGATTCAGTTTTGGGAGATTTGTTATCTTCTCCTAGGTTGTCCATTTACTGGCATATAGTTGCTTGTAGTAGTCTCTTATGATCCTTTGTCTTTATGCAGTGTCAGTTGTGACTTTTCCTTTTCCACTTCTAATTTTATTACCTTGAGTCTTCTCTGTTTTTTCTTAATGAGTTTGGCTAATGGTTTCTCAATTTTGTTTATCTTTTCAAAGAACTGGCTTTTAGTTTCATTGATATTTGCTGTTGTTTTCTTTGTCTCTGTTTATTTCTGTTCTCATCTTTACAACTTATTTCCTTATACTAACTTTGGGTTTTGTTTGTTCTTCTTTCTCTAGTTGCTTTATGTATAAGGTTAGGTTATTTATCTGAGGTTTTTCTTGTTTTCTGAGGTAAGTTTGTATTGCTATAAATTTCCCTCTTAGAATCGCTTTTGCTGCATCCCAGAGGGTTTGGATCATCATGTTTTCATTTTTTATTTATCACTAGGTGTTTTTTTCTTTCTTTTTTGTTTTTTTCGTTGTTCCTTTGTTTTTTTGTTACCTTTTCTTTTGGCCTTCTGTTTTTTTTTTTTTGCAATTTTTTCCTTGTAGTTGATTTCTAATCTCATAGCGCTGTGAATGGTGGACTTAATAGTTTCTTTAGAAAAATATTTATTCAGGGCCTCTGCCCATTTTTAAATAAGGTTGTTTATTTTTATATTTTTGTAAGTTCTTTCTATTTTTTTACTATTAACTTCTTATAACATAGGTTTAATCATTAATCTTTTAACATAGTTTTAATAGTTTTCACTGAATGTTGTAACACCAGTTTTCCTGATTACCTCATATTTGTATAGTATTTCATAGTTTTCTATCAAGAACGGTAGTGTGGCTGACCATTTTCTTATAACTGGGCTTATACTGTTTTCACCTTTATTAATGAACTTATTCACATATAACATTTATTTCTATATTTATTGTATTTCCTTATGAGGGCTTCTTTAGGCCTTAGTTTCAATTGAAGGCTGGCAACTGCCACCACAGACATTAAGATATGTTAAACAAGCTAGCCAGTCCCCACTTCCTGGTGACGCCAATGACCAGCTTCTCCCTGCGAGCACTTCCTAGGAATCTCGTCGCAGCTACTATTCCTGACCTTCTGCTCTGCTGCACCATTCACCCCTGTAAGTGTAAGTCAGTGTTAGTTGCTCAGCGGTGCCCAGCTCTTTGTGACCCCGTGGACTGTAGCCCACCAGGCTTCTCTGTTCATGGGATATCAGTTGTTTCCGACTCTTTGTGACCCCGTGGACTGTAGCCCACCAGGCTTCTCTGTCCATGGGATTCTCCAGTCAAGAATACTAGAGTGGGTAGTCATTCCCTTCTCCAGGGTATCTTCCGGACCCAAGGATTGAACCTGAGTCTTCTGCATTGCAGACAGATTCTTTACCATCTGAGCCACCAGCGAAGTCCCAATTTACTCCTGAAACCCTTCCAATTTTTAATTCCTTACGTATCCTTCAGAGATCAAGCTGTTCCATGCACAGCACTGCACATCCTGTTTGTTAATCTCACACCTGTCCCAAACATAAACTGTGAGTTTGATGCTGACCTTGTCAGTTATGATTTGCATTTACATACATGTAAACTTAGGCTGAATGAGGTTAAATAGCTTCAGAAACAGTGACAGAGCAAAGTCTGATTCTAAACCTGTGTAGCTCCAGAATTTGCTCTGCTAATCACTAAGCTCTAAAATATCTATTACACTACTGAGGCTGTGTCTCTCAAGCTAGAATTGAAAAATCTCCCCCCTTCCTGACAGGGAAATGGAGTAGAGAAAGGTCATTTTCACATCTGGCCCAGACAAATGTTCATCCACCATAAGGAATGATTTAAATAACTGCAGCCTTAACCCTAGAGTAGTGCAACTTTTCCTTGTAACTCCTAGGTTTGATGAAACATAAACAGCCAAATAATCACAGCACCATGTCTCTTTTATTCCCCTGAATGAAGGTGAGAATATGGAACCGCACCAAAGAAAATGCAGAGAAGTTTGTGAACTCAGTGCCAGGAGAGGTGCGGGTCTGTTCATCGGTCCAGGAGGCTGTGACAGGGGCAGATGTGATCATCACAGTCACCATGGCAACAGAGCCCATTTTGTTTGGTGAATGGGTCAAGCCTGGGGCTCACATCAATGGTAAGCAGAGTGGCTCCATGAACATTGGGTGGCCAGCCTCTCCCTTGACTGGACCAAGGGCCTGCATCTGCAGAGTTGTTTTACTCATGCAGAATGCCTGAGCTTTTTAATGGCCTCAGAAACACTTGAACCTTAAAGAAACAGTATGCACTCCAAAATATGAAACAAAAATCACAAACTCAAAACTAATAAATTTAATTACAATTTTATAAAGTATAGTATTATGGCAAATGATCAACTATAACTCGTTCTTAAATGCCATGAAATTTAATTACAAAAGCCAAATGACTCACTTGTTCTTGGGAACTCACCAACACTTGGGATTAAATTTTTTTTAATTACAGCACAAAATACATTTTATGTGACTAAATGTATTTATGTGAATGTTTTTTCATATGTGGGGGAGGATAATTGGGACTTTAAACATACGAGTTTCTTGGGCTCCTAAAGATCCTTAAATGACCCTGGGGGCTATAGCAAGATCTGGTCTATATTAAATACTTACTATAGCAGGGGCTATTCTAAATTCTTTGTTATGTACTATATCACTGAATCTTGAAAACAACCTTATGAAGTAGGAACTATTATTATCATGACCCCTGTATGGTAGGTAAACCAAGGCATGGAAAGATTAAGTAACTTGCCCAAAGTCAAAGGTTTTTAGAGGCGAAGCTGGGATTTGAACTGAGGCAATATACCCTCAAAGCCTAAGATCTTAAATGATACCCTATGTCATCTTTCAGTAAGAAAACTGGAGTCTGATTAGCAAGCAATTGAAGGCTAGAGAATTTAAACACAGTACCAATGCCTCATGTTTTAGTGACAGGCACATAGTATGAACTCTAAGATCTCTGCACACATGTGCAAGAGCCAAGTATCATGATTATTTGTTCTTTCACAAATGTGTATTGAATCCCTACCATGGTTCAGGCACTGTTTTACATGCTGGGAAAGCCAAAGTAAACCATCAAGTAAAGCCATCAAGGTCACTGCTTTCCTGCTGTTTACATTCTAGAGAAGGGAGGTTGACAATAAACAAGTAAACAAATAGATGAGCTAGATAGTTCCAGCTAAAGGTTAAGTTCCATGACGGAAACAACACATGTATGATTGAGGAATGGGCTATAGAAAATTGAAGGTTTCAGCCTGTATGGGTCTGATATTATGAATGTGAATCCAGGGGATAGGTCTTATTGTTCATAAAGCCAGACTCGAATAGTAAGACCATTTCTAGAAGGACTTGGAACTTCAAGAGAAGTCAGTTCTGGGTAAAATGGGCAAGAGCTGAATCTTCAATAAGACTGAGTTGATTTTTTTTCAGTTTTTTTTTTTTTTGGCTTAAAGCAGAACGTATTTGCTATCTTAGATTCTATGGTTAGGAGTCTAGACATGGGTTAGCTAAGTCCTCTACGCACTCAGGATGGAAGCAAGGTGTTTTCCAGGCTGCAATCTCATCTAGAGCTTGGAGTCTTCTTCCCAGCTCACATGGTTGTGGCAGTTCTTTGTGTTGTAGGACAAGGATGCAAGTTTCCTTGGGGCTGCTCTCAGCTCCAGGAGGCTGTCCACATTTCTTTTCCTGTGGACACTCTACCTTCAAAGACAGCAGCAGAGAATCTCCCTCATGTTGTATGCCTCTCACACTTTGAATGTCTCTCTAGGAAGAGCTAACTTGATTTTGAGTCAAGGAGTCTCATATCTTTCCCTGGTCTAAAGACAAAACTGGTTTGTGTGTTTAGAGGCAGTAAATATACTTAAGAAACGTATGTTACAAGTGCGGTTGACGGGGAAACACCAACAACAGATTTTACTTACTTTACAACTTGGCTGAGAGTTAGGCCCAATTCCAACCTTCCCTGCGTGCCCCTCATTCTTTCTCGGCATCCCACCGGCCAGTGTCTGGCCCTCACCAAGTGTAGCCCCACTGAAGGAAGGCCAAAGCCCAGCCTGAATCAGGCCCCTCGCTTTGCTTCCTGGACCACCTCCATTGGCTTGAGTGGCCTTATGCAACCCTTTGAGCATTCGCCGTGCTCCAAATTAGGGGGAACAAGTGCAATCAGAAGAGGTGGCTTGAGAAGCTAGGGTTTTTCCCACCAGCTTATGATTTATTTACAAGCTTCATTAGTTGGTGCTTCTGTTCTATAGCACTCCTCACACAAACAACCTTCAAGATGGACGTTTTACGTCACTGTCTTTGACAATTAGAGTGAGGGAAAACAACAGGAGAGGGAACAAGTAGAGAAAACTGGATGGCAGTGAGAGAAGGCTTACAAATGCTGCCTTATATTTGTATAAAGCTTCATAGCCATTTCCAAAGACTGGCCCCTGTGGGCTGGATCCAGCCAGCAGATGTGTTTTGTTTAGGCCATAGAGTGTTAAGTGTTCTGAAAACCAAGAAATTACACATGCAAATAGATTCCCTGCTTCTCTTTTTACAAAAGGAGCAGGGGGCCGGGGGAGGGCTATCTAAGAGTGGCCCTGCATTCTTACATGGCAACAGTTCTGCTTGAGCAGAATAGTTAGTGTCCCCTTTAGAAGGGCCTGCTTTCTTCTCTGTACTGAGGTTTCCACCATTTCTAATCCAGTTCTTTTGACCAGTGCCACTCATTTTCACTACCTTCCTGGTCCTGCAAGCATTTGATTCAGTCTCAGCATTATCCTATGTCCCAATGCCAGGAGGCATGATTCCTTGGATTCATCATTATGGTTCTGGGCTCTGCAGAGGATGTGAAACCTTGGTGCTGGGGTGCAGCCAGTTTCCTGTTTACTGGGGCTTCTCTGTGTCCCTGACACTGGGCTTTTTTTTTCTCATGAGGTAAGAGAAGTGGTTGGGAATAAGGAATGGGAATGATCGAAGAGCAAGCAGACAGACAGAAGACAGAAGATTGTGTGGTTATGAATAAGCTGCAAGTGATGTCTGTTTTAGGGTTTGTGTAAGGAAGTCACTGCTCCTGATAAGCAGAAGAAACATGAAAAGGCATGTGTTCTTTTAGAGTCATAGATGCACTTATTGGATATATAACCTTGGCACATACCTCTTCTTTGAGCCTCAGTTTGTGTACCTTTTAAATGGGAATCAGACATGTAATGTACTTGTGAGGACTTGAAATAGTATGTGTGAAACATCCCAGTGATAGTAGGCACACAGTACATGAATGCTGTGTTAGTCGCTCAGTCGTGCCCGGCTCTTTGCGACCCCATGGACTGTAGCCCACCAGGCTCCTCTGTCCATGAGATTTTTCAGGCAAGGATACGGGAGTGGGTTGCCATTTCCTTCTCCAGGGGATCTTCCCGACCCAGGGATCGAACCCGGATCTCCTGCACTGCAGGCAGATTCTTTACCGACTGAGCTACAAGGGCTAAGTTGCCTCAAAATATTTTTGATTAATGAGAATGGGCATGAAATGAAAGGAGAAAATGCCAAGTGTCATTCTTGTTAGAGAGCTCAGTCTTGTTGCTTGGGAGGGAGTAGGCCTGGGGAGATGAGGCATGCCGCAGTTGTTCCCATGTGTCCCCTGTCACTTCCTTTTCCCCACCCCTTTCATTCTTTGGAGCCTGCAGTATCCCCTGTGACTACTTCAAGGCTCAGGGTCTGTTTTGCTGTCATTTAGCCATCGGCGCCAGCAGACCTGACTGGAGAGAGCTGGATGACGAGCTCATGAAACAGGCTGTGCTCTATGTGGATTCCCAGGAGGCCGCCCTGAAAGAGTCTGGAGATGTCCTCTTGTCGGGGGTGAGCCATCTTTCTGTTGCTGATGTCTGACTGTCCTCACCTGGATCCCCGGGTTTCATTAATAGCCCCTTCTGTCTGGCCTGCTGCAGATCTCTGTAACTCCCACCTCTTTTGGGGGTTATCACTCTCAAATATCTTTCCATCCTTTCTAATTCCCTTCTAGAATAATGTGGCCATTGTGTGCTGACATGTGTCTTCCTGTTCCCTTTGCCTTAAGAGATCACTTGATGGCCTTTTTCATTGGATTGGGCTGTCCTGTAAAGCAATAGGATTGGAAGATAGGAGCCTCTGGAAACTTTCCCAGTATGGCCAACAAATCAGGACTAGTGTTGACCGCTTTCTGACCTTTTTTCATAACCAGGGCATAGCAGTAAGAAGGGGGCTGCCAAAAATGAGTGTTCAGATAAGAACAAGCCTGTTTCTTCACTGATACAGTGTCCTGGCTGGACATTCCCCTGGCTGCAGATTTGTATTTCTGCAATCATGGTATCACAAAAGCAGATGTACCCACATCTCATCCCCAGAAAAAGATTTAAGAGAGAGGCATCCTCCCTGACATCATTCCGTTTACAGAAGGTCATTTTATCAAGTTATCCTTTATCCAGGTCAGGGACACCCTGTCCTGGCTTCAGAAGCTGGTCCTGAGCCATATTAGCTCCATGACCTGGGTCAGTGTGTTCATTTGACAGGCTGAGATCTTCGCTGAGCTGGGAGAAGTGGTGAAGGGAGTGAAACCAGCCCACTGTGAGAAGACTACCGTGTTCAAGTCTCTGGGTAAGTCATTGCTCCCAGGGCAAAACACAAGGTAGGTTTACCCATTGGTGGGAAGAGGAATGAGTCAGCAGGCTCCGTAACTGAATCATTGTGCAGTCTATCACTTAGGTAAATCATTTACGTGTTGGCCTAGTGGTGAAGCCCGTGAACTCTGGAACTGGGCAGTCCTAGGTTGGCTTCCCCGCTATGCTATTCCTTGGACATGCATCCTTGGGCAAGTGATCTCACCTCTTTGAGTCACAGTTTTCTCCCCACCTGTTACCTAGAGTTTTTGTGAGAATTAAGTGAGATGTATGTATAAAATGATTTGCCCATAACAAGCATCAGCATTAAAACATTTAGACTTTGATCTAAATGAAACTCAGAGGAAGATATCCTTCAAAGGTGGAAGGGCAGGAGAAAAAGGTGTTTAAAAACAGGGAGCTTAAGGGAAATAACAGGGAGACCCAACCTGAGGGCAACCCAGACAGGAAGTACAGCCTGACCTTTTTTCCCTCTCCTTCCCTTTCTGTTTGCTGATTTAAGAAGGTCTTCAATGGATAGCCCCATTACCACTCTGAGTTAGCACAGGCAGAAGCCCATCAAAGAAGGGGCTCCTTTCTTTGGCTGGTTTGCCTCTCAGCCCAGCTCTCCCATTTTAAGGAAATGGACACATATGGTAACAGAGCTAATATTCAGATCCTACATCTAAAATATTGAAGTACTCTCAAAATAGTTGGTAAATAGTTGCTGCTTGAGCCCCTCAACCTTGCCAGACCTTACATATTTTTTAATGATCAAGCAACCAAAGCGCTATTGCTTGGCAGAGTATTAAGAGTAGTCTGCCCACCCAGCACCAATGCCAGTCAAAGTGTATCTATGCCTTACCATCTGTTAAATATATATTTTAATTTTTCATGCATAGAAAAACAGGCAAACACAGTATAAGCTTTATTTAGAGCCTGGTTCAGAGACATCACACTGATCTAGTTGAGTCTGAAAGAGTTTCATTGTTCCTTAGCAGATCAGAGGTCAGCTGGCCCCCTTCAGGAGACACACCCTGGAAACCTGATCTACACTCCTGAGCAATTTTTACTTTCTCACTTTTGGGGTTGGTTTACTGGCACATCCCTTCATCTAGCAGATGCATATTAAATACCTACTATGTATCAAGCTCCATACTGTGTACAGTAGTAGTTACAAAAATAAAAGCCAGCCCCTGGCCTCTAAGAACATATTCCCATTCCAGGTTAAGGATATTTGCCCAAAACTATGAGATAAAGGGGGAATTGCTAAAGGACTTAGGGTTTGGACTAGACCAAAGGTCCAACAAACTACACAGCTTGGGCCAAACCCAACCTACCATCTGTTTTCATACAGCCCACAATGAAATGGTTTCTACATTTTCAAATGACTGCGGGGGGGGAAAGTAATATTTCAGGACACATAAAAATTACAAGAAATTCAAACTAAAGTGTCCATAAGGAAAGTTTTCTTGGAGCACAGTCAGACTCATCTGTTTACCTGATGTCTAAAGCCACACTTGTACCACAGCAGAGGTGAGTAACTGCAAGTAACTGGCATGCAAAGTCTTAAATATTTATTATCTGGCTGTTCACCGAAAGTTTTCTGACCCCTGAACTTTGGTGAGCATTCATTGCTTGCCTTGTTTTACCCTTCACAGACTCTTCAAGCCTGAACTCACCTCTGGGTGGTGAGCCCTTGTTACCCTGGTGGACACTGTATTAGGGAACGGCCAGTTCTGGGACCTGGGCTGTTTGGGGAAAAGTTGTTCTGACAAAAGTTAAACCGAATTTCTGTCCATTCCAGGAATGGCGGTGGAAGACATGGTTGCAGCCAAACTAGTATATGATTCCTGGTCATCTGGTAAATAAAACAAAGGAACTTTGTGTCAAGTGGATGCTACGGCTCAAAGGGTGTTAACACTAGTTGTCTCACAATCTTTTCATAATCTCTAGATTAAAAGAAGGGTTCTAGCCCAGTGATCTGTAGTTTTATGCATACTGTGTCTTACCTTAAACAATGAGATCCTCTTTTGTGTTTGTAGTTAGAAAACAAAATTAAGTGGCCGTTCTGTGTCATACCAGATTATACTAGCGCTCCCTTTGCCCTGTATTTCACTGCCTTTTGTAATTCCCTGAAATAAAGCTTTTTCCAATTCTGCAGTTCTTGTTTTGGTAACTTCCATCCTTCACAGCAAGGGAAGTGAGGGGATCAAGTGCTCGTGTTCACTCCCTGAAGGCTCGCCAATTGCTGTAGTTAATTTTTTTCTATTTTATTAATTGAGATACAATTTACTACCATAAAGTCCACATTTTGAAGTGGTGGATATAATTCAGTGTTATCAGTATATTCACAGGGTCATGCAACCATCACCGCTAATTTCAGAACATTTTCATCACTTCAAAAAGAAACCCAGTACCCATTAGCAGTTGCTTCCCAGTCGTCTCAGCTTCTGGCAACCTACTAATCTACTTTCTGCTTTTTTTGGATTTGCCTTTTCTGAACTTTTGTATACATGGAATCATATATCATGTAGTCTTTTGCTTCCTGCTTCTTATTATTGAGATTTCAAGCAACACAGAGCTTTCTCTATTGCTCAGAACTCCTTTGGTCACAATCGACAGAGAACACAACTCAAACTACCTTAAATTGAATGAATGAGTGAGGGATGGAATTTATTGGCTCTTGTAATTAAGAAGTATACAGGTAATTGATTTCAGCTATAGCTGCATCCAGGGGTTCCAGTTGTTATCAGGATCAGGACCCAGTCTTGCTCCTCTGTTCCTTGCCTCTGTTTTCTTCAGTGTTGGCTCCATTATCAAGCAAGTTCTCCCCTGATAGTGTCAGGATAGGTACCAACAGCTCTTGAAGCATAGCCTGTCCTCTTCAGCAATCCTAGCACAAATAGACATTCTCTTCCTTAACAGTTGAAAGTCTCAGAATGGAGACACACTGGACCATCTAGGGCCTATGCCCATATGCATGACATAGTGGCTAAAGGAAATGAAATACTCTGGCCAGGTCAGATCCAGGTGACTATCATCACCTGGGGGATCTGCTTCCCCTATTATCCAGTCCTGGGTCACATGCCCCCACCTTGAATTCAGCAGTACAATCAGCCCATCTGACCACATAAGCTGACAAAAGGAAAGGAGTCTTTTACCAAAAGAGGGCTGTATACCAAGTAGGCAAAATGTATAGATATCCCCTGCAGTGTCAGTATGGAGAAGGCTGTTGAGAATCATCTAGTCTAACCTCTTCAGCTTACAGATGGGGAAGCTGAGGTGCAGGGGTGCTTTTCTCAGGTCCCCTGAATCGCTAACAGAGCTGTGTTGTCCATGTCCTGCCAAAGACCCATTCAAATTCTCCCTCTCCAAGGCTCTCCTAGGCTGGTGCTAAGTCAGCATAAAGAAAAGCATGTTATTTTGCTTTGTTTTCTTACCCAGATTCCTCCTGGCAGGTCCTCTTCATGCTCTATGTAGCTTAACCAAACGTTTGTCATGTCAGCCGGGTTGTCTAGCCTTTGCGCTAAACCAAAATACCCACATGATCTACTCTGCACACCTCAAGTGACTATGGAATCTTTGGGGGGAATCTTAATGGCCACAATTCTAAGGAATGTGTAAAAGAGGGTATGTGATAATGAGATTACCAAAAGCACTTTAATTCATTCATAGATTTCTTATTTCATTTTTAAGAGTCCCTGCAATAATTCGTGCTAGGCTGCTAACAGAAAAGAAATAGTCCTCACCCCAGAGAGCACAGATAACTCTCTCCAGCTATTTAGAGTTAGGGCAGGAAATGGATCTAGAATATCTTGTGCAATAAGAAGTTTTTTGCCTTTCAAGGTTATTCTTTTCCATTTCACATTGCCCATCCACCTCAAATGCTTGCTTTGTGAACTACCAAGGTCGACAAAAATCCTAGGAATCAACAGACCAGAGTAATCTGCATCCTGCCTCCAGCCTAGGCATCACATCCAGTTGTTTAGCAATGTTTATTGATTATCTGCTGTGTGACGGATCGGCACTTGGTACAAGGGATGTCAGTGAATAAAAGACAGAGAAAATTCCCTGTCCTAAAGGACCTTATGTTGTAGTAGGGCAGAACCTAGCTTCTCTGCTAGGGAAGTGGGCAGAGGAGAATTCCCAGGAGCTAGAACCCTTTAATTTGTCTCCTTTGCGCCTTCATATGTTAAGTTGTTGGTTTTGTTTCGTTACTAAGTCATGTCCAACTCTTTGCAACTCCATGGTCAGTGGCCTACCAGGCTCCTCTGTCCATGGGATTTCCCAGGCAAGAATACTGGAGCAGGTTGCCATTCTCTTCTCCAGGGGATCTTCCCAGCCCAGGGATTGAACTCAGGTCTCCTGTCTTGCAGGCAGATTCTTTACTGTCTGAGCCACGAAGGAAGCCCTCACATATAAGAGCCAAGTAATTTTGTTTGGTTCATACACTTTAAACCAATTTTGCAATAATCACCGATATAGAATTTACCCTTTAAATGGAACAGGAGTTATTCACAGAAAGGTAGATGAACCTATGGAGTCTATAAGCTGGAATACTTTAATGAAAATATAATGCAACCATTTGGGGGGAAAAAATAGCTAACAACCCATGCTGGCCTCACTGTTTTGTGTTACTTACTATTACTACATAAAAGGATTATGTTTGCTCCTTCCTTTTTTTAATTCAGCAATTTGATTGAAGTTTTATGTGAGGTTTTAAAATCTACATGTTCTCCAAATTCATATCCCTTTATCTCATCACAGAATTCATGTAAACTCCAATGGAATTGTCCTGGTGAGCGCTTCCAGTCCTGCTGGGCAAACATCCCCTTCCCATATTTCTGAGCAAATTGTTACCTCTCCAGTAGGGCAACATGGAAAAATTCCAATTAGAAACGATCAAATGCCATGAAGCAAGACTAAATCCTATAATGCTGAATTCCAGTAACATTTTTGCTGGCCTATCTTTTCTCATTTTCCCTAAGAGTACTTTTCTATTTCCTATTCTGTCTTCCAAGTACCAAAGCTGGTGTCCAGCTCAAAATTCTTTGTACCACCCCCATGCCACCTCTCATTTGCTATAATATGTCATCAAGCTTTCTATATTATTTTTAACCTCTGACAGTGATATACAAAGCACTGCTGTAAATCATCATTTTTGTTAACAGTAGAACTCTTCTAGTGGCTTATATTTCTCCTATATCCTAGCAGTGTCTCATCACGTAGATTCTGATGTCTACCTGGAGAGGGGATCCTGGCCTCTACAATAATGAAATCCTAATAGAGAAGGACTCAGACACTACTACATTTTATGAATGCCTTCTAAAACTACTGCTTTGGTGTACATTATTCCGTGTACAGTTGCAATTTATTCCAGAACAATGCAATGTGATATTTGTAAATTCTTTTCTGTATTCTTATTTTCCCCTCCCTGCCTCTCTTGTCTTAAGGAAAATCTTATTCTGCTAGGACTGCTGTAACAAAATACCACAGACTGGGTGGCTTAAAGAACAGAACTTTATTTTCTTATAGCTCTGGAGGCTGTAAGTCCAAGATAAAAGCGATAAAAGGTTTGGTTTCTCCTGAGGCTTCCTTCTGTGGCTTTTAGCTAACTGCCTTCTTGCTTCATCTTCACATGGCCTATTCTTTCTCTTCACATGGTGATGCAAGCACATCACCAGTGTGTCTGCCTCTTCACAGGATGACTGGAGTTAGAACCCCTAGACTCAAGATCAGAAATTAAGCATATAAATTTTGGAAGGACAAAATTTAATCCATACAGGTATTGTACATTCTATTTCATCTCTCTCTCTACCTGGCATTCTGTCTCTGTTCCCAAGAAGGAATGTTACAGACCCATTTCTATTACTTGTAAACATGTAAACATCTACTGATTGGGGTTAGACACATTCAAGTTGGGCATCAAGCCACAGGCCAATGGAGAAATTTTAGTTTCCATCAACAGGTAAAGTCATGGAGCTAAGGATCAGAAATTAGACAGCAGCTAGTGTGATAGGAGTGGAGAAGGAAATGGCCACCCACTCCAGTATTCTTGCCTAGAGAATCCCGTGGACAGAGGAGCCTGATGGGCTGCTGTCCATGGGGTCGCGGTCGGACATGACTGAAGCGACTGATGCCTGCTTTGGAGAAGGAAATGGCAACCCACTCTGGTACTCTTGCCTGGAGAATCCCAGGGATGGAGGAGCCTGGTGGGCTGCCATCTATGGGGTCGCACAGGGTTGGACACGACTGAAGCGACTTAGCAGCAGCAGCAGCAGTGTGATAGGAGACTATAATTTTAAGTTCAGAGTTAGGAAATAAAGTCTTTTCTGTTCTCTGTCATCCATTTAATCCTTTCTATATTCAAAAATATCAAAAAGATAATTGAAGAGGTCATTTCCTTATTCCCATTTCTTACCTCCTTGAGTTTCTCACTAGTGGTTTATATGAATTTAGGTACAGAGTATTTCTCAGAGTAGAATTTGGGCTTCTTTCTTAGGTGGACACCTCCAAAACCTTAGAAACCCGGTAGTCTGGTATTGGGTACAGAGTAGGTATTGCCTGGAATATCTCCAGTGGGCCACAGCATCACCCACACCTCTATAGACTCAGCCTGTTGACCCAACACTCCATCAGAGATTGGTGTCAACCAACTGCCCAGGCTGTTGTAGCACCTGCTTCCTTCTATTTATGGCATTAAGAACTTTCTTCCTGGGACCCAGCTGCATTTGTATGCTCTGAAGGTCCTCATCAGAGCAAAGCAGCAGAGCTTCCAGATCAATCTGTTCTCTCATGAAAATAGGAAGAAATTCTTCCAAGTAGTGGGACTGCAAGAACACTTCCAGGGGAGTAGCATCAACCACATCTTCCTCCCAGTCCACTTCATCCTCATCCCAAGGCAGATCATCTTCATGGTTGTTTTCCTCTCCCTCTTCATCAGCCTCAGCTTCTCCTTGTCTCTGAAGCAATTCACTGGGCATTGTAAACCCCAGCTCCCTCCTGCTGTCTGAGATGTCTTCAGGGCTGAATATTCTATTCCTTCCAAAAACAACATTTCCTAGACCTGGACGGTTGAGAATGGATTCGTGTTGCATACAGCTGTCCCCCTCTGCAGATAGCTGGAGCTTCTCTATGAAGTCCCCTGAGAATTCGTCTTCCTCATCCTCTCTGAACACTTCCATCACATTCTTCTGCCCACTTCTGCTCCCATCCCCTAACTGCTCTGCTGTATCTTTGTTCTTCTTGAACTTAAGCTTGAGGGTATCTTTAATACTCTTAGACAGTGACCCAAATGTGTTAGAAGCAGAAGCATTTGAAAGGGGTGACCTAGAGAAAGTTCCCTTGGAAGAAGAAAGAGTCCCAGATTCCTCCTTGCTGTATGTGCGGGCCATCTTATTTTGGTGCTTCTCCTGGAGCCTCTCACACTCTTTGATCTGCTTCTTGACATTCTTCTGAGCCTGCTCCTTCTGCCTGGTGACTTTCTTGGGGTTCATGATGTTCTGGGAGGTGGCAGCCTTATCCAGAAGAGCGACACATTCATTCTGCTCTCTGCTGGCAGCAGCATCCAGTGGAGACTGTAAGTCATTGTCCAGAGCAAAGATGTTGGCACCAAAGTTTATCAGGAATGAGACGCAGTGGGCATGACCATTGGAGGCTGCATAATGTAAAGGAGTATTTCCCCAGATGTCACATCTATTAGGATCCCCTCTAGAAGAGAAAATATAAAAAAATACATACTAATTTTTTTCTCTGAAGATGAGGTCTAAGAAATAAAAGATTAAAACAAAGAACAAAATGCAAGTTAATCTTGCCTTGACATTGTTACAAGACAACTTTGAAAGTCCAGATATGTCACATTTAGGCGTCACATGACCAGAAACAATCCATATCTACCCTGTATCTTGTTTTTAGAAGCAACAAAGCTTTCTAAGAAGCTCCAAAAATGAGTAACTTTCATGTCTCATTGGCCAGAATCAGATCACATCCTAGAAGAAAGGAAATAGAGCTACTTTCTTTATCTGAGATTAATTCGATTTTCCCCTAGATAGGATTACCCCATGCCATGCTGGTAAATGTTAACAACCATCTCATTAAGGGAGAAGAATCAAACACTGATTTATGTAGCATGTGCCAATTTCTGTCATGTAAATATACCACCACAACACATTTTATGCACTAATATGACATTACTGGACACAGAATTTGGAAGAGAGGCATAGTAGCAGTTGATTATAAATTATTCCCACCACATAGATATTTAATAGATGTGCACAATCTTAAGAGAAAAGATAATACAGTAAAATGTGGTAAAATAATTAGAAGGAATAAGTTTTGAGGATTTTGATATAATTTATTAAATTTAAGTTTATATAATTTTATTTTTAATAATGAATTGTTTATCTGATTCAGACTTCCTAAAACTTAGCAATCATCTCTCCTGAGTTTGTTAGATAGAGCTGGTTCTGAAACCACATCCTGTACCTTTAAAAGATCAAGGTTCATAAGGTAGAAACAAGATAGAAACAGAAATGATAACATCAAGAACACTAAACGTGTTTCACAAAGTGTCAGGGAAACCACAGATGTGGAAACAGCTTGCTGACAGTCCCTCCAACTGAGCATGAGCATCACACAGACGCCCTGAGGGACTCGAATGATTGATAGTGCACTTTGGATATCACAAGCGGAAAATCCATTACATATTACGTACTGGACCCTCTCACCTCTAAAACTGCACATGTAACCCATGAAGAGGCATGAAGGACTGTCCCGCCTTCACTCTTGAAACTTACATTGAAACTTACACTTACTTTCCATCATTTGTTTCTAAGCAGTCTCCCCCTGTTTTTCCTTACTTCCACAGTAAATACCCCATTCAAAAGCCAATCAAGGAGATGAATCTAAAGCAGCGCCTCTTGTCTCCTTGCTTCCACTCTTCAATAAAGCCTTTTCTCTCTGCAAAGACCATTGCCTTGGTCTTTCCATTGCACGGTGGGCAATAAGCCTGCTTGCTCAGTTACAGTTCCAGCTCAGTTACAGTCTTAGCTAATCTGAGTCATAGGTAAGGAAATAAATAATAACAAAACTGGTTTCCCAACAGCAAGAAAGAAAAGAGGAATGGATGTTGGGCAGGAAGCAGTGTCTAATACAACTAATATTTGTACAAAGGGTCTATTGATTCCTCACTTTACTTTCCCGTAATAATGAGTGGTTTGGGCTTCCATAATGGCTCAGATGTAAAAGAATCTGCCTATAATGCAGGAGACCCTGGTTTGATCCTTGGGTTGGGAAGATCCCCTGGAGAAGGGAATGGCTACCCACTCCAGTATTCTTGCCTGGAGAATTCCATGGACAGAGGAGCCTGGTGGGCTACAGTCCATGGGGTTGCAGAGTTGGACATGACTGAGCAAATAGCACTACGATAGTTTAAGGTAGAATTGGGGGCAGTATTAGATAGCTTTAAGGGTACATGGTAGGTAAAGAAGATTTGTGGAATGAATATCTACTAGAATCCTGCCCCAGACTAAATCCCCACCCCTTGCCCTTCTCCTGTGTGGCCTTAAGTTACAAACAAGCATAAATGAAAAGTAATAACTTACTGTTAATTATGGCTCTGACCCTAAGTCACTGTTGAGAACTCTGATAATACAGGTACTAAAGGGCACCTTCCCTTGCCCTAATCCAGACTCCAAAATCAGGATCTCTGCACCCTTTGGCCAGGCTAGCCCCATGGGATGGCAGGAGAGAGAGTCTGAGAAGGTGTCTTAACATTCCTGGTAAGCAGCAGGTGAAACAGGAGAAAAGGTCCATGCCCTTGCAACTGGCATGTTAATGCACTGTGATCTTTCTGTTCCTTGCTATTTAAAGTCTGGTCCATAGACCAGCAGCAGTAATATCACCTTTAAGTTTGTTGGAAATGCAGAATCTTGGACCTCATCCCAGACTTCCTGAATCAGAATCTGAAGTTTAACAAGAGCCCCAGGTTAAGTTCACTGCAGGTTAAGACCTGCACTAGTTAAGCTGACCCAACCAGTGTCCTATAATTTAGTGAATCAAATTTGTATTATAATTCCTCCTCTTCATGCTTTTTGTTATAAAGCACTTACACATTCACTGCCCCCACCACCACTACCACAAATCATAATCTTTCTCTTAAAAAAGAAAGAGAAGAACAACTCTCAGAGGGGTAAATAAGACCAAGCACTCAATTGATTTGCCCACCAGTTCAACGAGTACACTTTGGCTCAGGCCTGCCTCCATGTCTCATGGTCTCCAACACAATGTGGTCTTACCTTAACTCACCTCAGCTTTACCTTTTACCTGCAATGAGGCCTCAAGTTCAACTTTTCTAGGACTCATTGTCCTTGTCAATAAATTGAGGATAATATTACCTACTCATAGAACTATAATGTGAATAAAGTCAACATACATAAAGCATTAGAAAAGTGCTTGGTACATAGTGAATACTCAATAAATTTTACCTGTTATCATTTCCCTTGACTCTAAACTCAAAATACTTAATTTCATATATTTTTTTCTTGTACCCATCTGGTAAATTCCTGCAACACTACAATAACCTGTCTGGCCTTTCAACACTTATAATCTTAATTCATCAAATACACCCTGCCACATTTAGATAATATGTCTCAGAGGGCAATATGTCTTTTGTCCTTTGTATCTTCTATATCTCCTAGCAGATGTCTCGAACACAACCTAAAGAAGCCAAGATGTGATGTAACTAACTTAATGGGACCACATTTTTTTTTTTTTTCAACAAAGTCATAGTTAAGTTTAAGCTCCATCTAAAAGAACAGGCATTGTTCAGCTGTGGCTAATTGCTCTCCTGAATAAAAGCAGACACGATATTGCCAGAGCTTCTATTTTCCAAACAAAACCAGAAATCCAGAATCTCAGGTGAAGCTTTTTGATTTTTAAGTGTTGGCTTAAATTTAAGAGAAAATTACACTGAGGTCCAAATTAAACATGTTTGTGGGCTAGATCCAGCCATAAGGTGACAGTTGGCAACTTCCTTCTGAAGAGAGAGAACAGTGAGTGTAAGCAGATGCACATATAGGTGAGATTACTTATTTGGGACACCAGGAATATACTCAGTGTGGCCAGAGATAGAGGAAGGGAAATAAGTTCAAAGAGGAAGGAAGGAAAATGAAACTGAATCTAAGGAAAGCAAGTATTAAATAACATGGTTCTGTTGCACAACCGTTTTCAAAAGAGGTCTAGTCAGTCTGCCTGATTTAGTTGTCTTGGGTCAAAGGAGACCTCTTTCAGCCTTAAAACAGTTGTGCATCTTAGGGAAGCACAGTAGCCTCAAAGATGGCATTTCACTTTTTATTTATTTTAACTAAACACCACGTTCAAAAGACTTCAAAGAGAGGTTGTAAAACATCTAAGACATTACTGCAAATATAAACATATGGATTAAATTTGCCTGACATTAGATTGGGTAAGTTAAAGAAGAAATTATTGAGAGGAGTGAGTTTGGGTGAGGATGTTACAAGTATTAAGAGGTTGGATTAAATCCACATGCTTCAGGTCATAAAACAGTGGAATTTTCCCCACCCAAGGGAACTTAAATGATCCTTCAAAAATAGGAAGAACATGAAGAAAACCTGAGGTGACCCTTAAAGATTGTTCCTCTCCTAAGAAACACAAAATTCAAAATTTAAAGATGAAACTGTCAGTAAGCTGATTCATGAATTGCCCTGGAACATTTAAGCTATTTCCACTTGTAGAAATTCTATTTACAGACAACCTTCCAAATTGATGTACTATTTAAATTAAAATTTTTTCTATTGACAATTTGGGGGTTCTTCTTAATTCTGTCTTTCAATCTCTGGTGTCTTTCACATTTTTTGATAGAACCATTACACATTCCTGTCCAGATATTCAAAAACTCATTCCCCTCATTTGTTGATCTGAATCCAATATTGATGCCATATTGTTTCTGTGGTCTAAATTCGTAAAATTTTTATTTGATTTTTTTCTATCCTTTTTTTTCCCAAAAGAGAAACTCAATGAAAAGATTTTAAGTAATCATACTTTGCCCTTGCTTTTAGGTAGACTAGTACATTTTGGAAATAATTTATATTATTGTTGCAAAATAGGCAATTTTCTTATATTAAATTACTCTGAGCATCTGTTCCATTTCAGTTTCTCCATTTGAAGTTGATCTGATTTTTTCTGGAGTTGTTCTCAGAAGAAAAATCACTTTTTCAAAAAATGTTTTTCTACGTAAGAAGGAATATTTAGACTCATTAGTAATCAAATAAATGCAATTGAAAGTAATACACCACCATCTATTTGCCTATCAGATACGCAACAAATAAAAGGAATAATAATACTCAGTTTTGGCAGGAGTGTGAGGAAATGAAGAGTGCTGGAGGAAGCATAGAGTGGTTCAAATTTCCTAGCATAGTATGTGCCAAAAGACTGTAAAACATTGTGCTCCTTTGAATCAACAATTCTGCTTTAAGGAATTTATCCTGAGGAAATATCAGACACTTGTGCAAAGATGAGTGACCAAGGATGCTCATTCCATCTTATACAAAAACTGGGTTCAAATTAAATGTCATGAGCAAATAACTGATTAAATAAATTTATAATGAAACTATAAAGCAGGATACTATATAGCCACTGAAAATAATGTCATGAATCTCTCCTTTTAACTGCAGATTGTCAATATTGTATTATTAAATAATTAGAAGAATAATCCAGAAGAGTTTGTATACTGTGATTGCCTTTTTAAGGGCTGAACATAGGTACATTTAAGTGTATGTTCTTAAAGGGAAACATCTGAAGGAATATATACCCAAACGTTAATGACTGTGAGAATTCATGTGATTTTTGCTTTATTAAGTATATTTTCCAATATGACATGAAATGTTACAAGAAGTTTGTATTCCTTTGAGAATCAGAAAGGAAAAAAAATTATTTTCATTTTAGAAAATAGAACAAAAATACTTAAAAACTACCCTTGCATGTTTTAAAAGCAAAATTAAATTCTGTATAACTGAGGCCATCTTCCCAATGTAAGACAGGTAATTATTGCTTTCCATCTTTAAAAGTAAAATAGGAAGAAAAACAGTTTTTAACAAAGCCAGAGTTTGGATATTATTGTTTGCCACATGATCCATAGTTCAATCAGGTAGTGATAGAAAGACACTAAAATCATCAGACTGTAGTAGACCTCAATAAGTGATTTACATCTAAATTCAATTTTTGATTGGTTTTACTTTTTAGCCCCCTTAAATGTAATGGGCATTTTGTTCTCACACAAGTACTTAAAGATTGGCTATGATCAAAATCTGCCTGCAATGCAGAAGACCCAGTTTTGATCCCTCAGTTGGGAAGATTCCCCTGGAGAAGGAAATGGCAACTCACTCCAGTATTCTTGCCTGGAGAATTCTATGGACACAGGAGCCTGGTCAGTTACAGCCTATGGGGTCGCAAAAAGTCAAACGCAACCGAATGAATAGCACACACACGCAATGATCAAAATAGGTGGTGACCTGTGAAAACGCTTATAAGATATTTTCATAAGTTTATACCAGGCCAACTTAACAGATCTTAAATGCTCCTGGAGAGAAGGAAAAAAATCTGGGATGTATTAGAACTGATCCAGAAGACAAGAGTTGAGAAGGAAGGACTAATCAGGGTTAGAATGTTGATGTTCATAATCAGTTTTTAATAAATATCAAACAATTACATTGAGAGAAATTACCATGCCAAATAAATACATAAAGAGTGGATTATATGACAAAATGCTTAGGGACAAATGACTAGCCACTTGGAGAAGACATAGTTAGATCACAATCTCAAATCTTAAATCAAAGAAATAAAATATGAGTTATTTAAAATAAAAAAACTAAAGTACTAAAGAAAATATCTGTCAATATTTAGGCATGACCTCAAAGTTGGAAATACACAGTAAAATTGATAGATTTAAGTACATAAATATATATATTTAAATTTATATTTTCACCAATATTAAATATCTGATGTCAAAAATATGAATTATGATTTGTGAAAATATTTGGAAATACAGTGACAAAAGGCTGATATTCTAACTTTAAAAAAATCAATGAGAAATGTTGAAGACTCCGATATATAAGTAGGACAAGGTTATAAATACTTAGCTGACAAAAGTGGAAATACAATGACTTCAAAATATAAAAAAATTTTCAACCCTGCCAGTAACCAAAGAACATTGAAGGCACATTGATATATCATTTCAAACCTACAATATTGACAGAAACAGGTGCTCACTTTCTGAAGAGCAATTTGTCAATAGACACCAAAAAAGTCTTCAAATGGTATATGTGCCAACTGATCCAGAAATTTCACTTTGAAGAATTTGTTCTCAAGAAAACATGAGTAAAGATTTATGTACAAGGATAATTATCACAGCACTATTTAAACCATGGGAAACAAGTTATTTGTTCAAAAGAGAGATTGACTAAAAAATATATTTATATACTTATAAATATTATAAATATACTTATATATATTTATATATATTAACTAGAATACTAAGAAGTTCCTGAAAATTAAACTGTAAAAGAATATATGCTGACATGGAAAAAATGTTTATGATATATTGAGTCATAAAAAAAAAACTGCATACCACACAGAAAGTGTTTACTTAGTATACTATTTCATGTATATGTACAAATAGGCATGTATAATTATTTATATATAATATATATGTTTTAATATATGTGTGCATATATTTGTAGGTGCTATATATATTTTATACACACAATATATATATGACATAACAGGGTATTTTATTCTTTATAATCTGTGTGCATATATATAGTTTAATTTGGGGAGCTTAGTTTATGTTAATTTTGTCATAAGTAAAGACCAGTAGAACAATTTGTATAAGAAAAAGTTTCAGGTTTACAAAGAGAGAGAGCATAGGAGAACATCTAGGCCCTCTCATTTAAATTGGACCTTAAAATGGGAAAGGGTTTTCAGCCCTGGTTGTGAAATGGTAACTGACCTGTTGCACTTCCTCCAGAGGTTATATACTTTGAGTAGGTGAAGAAAGTTTGGGAGAAGAGGAAAGATGATACAGTGTTACAATATGAAAGAGCTTGGCTGAAAGGGTCGGGTAGACGGTGATGTCTGGAAAACCTGGAATATGGAGGTTAAAAGGAATGGAGTACATCAAGTCCACTTACTTCCTTATTTAGTCTTCAACTCAGGAATTCTCTCCACCTTTGGTTCTTCTAACTCCTTAAAGTACCTCTCACTTCAATAAAGGATGCCAACATCCAACATCCTGTCAAAGCTCAAACTTGATCCTCCTCTTCCTTCTGCCCACTCAACGTTCAGTCAATTATAATCAATTTCACATCCAAATTGCCATCCATCCACGTCTCTCTGTTCCCACTGCCACTTTCCTAATCCAGTCCGCCCCTCATCTCAACCATTAAAACAGTCCCCGAACATTTTCTTTAACTGCTATACAACCACCTGAGGAAAATTCTGTAAACAAAAAGTTACCAGGTGGCTCCCCTGCACAAACCCACCACAGTGTCTTTCCATGTCCTTGGGGAAAAGTTCAGTTCCTTAAAAGAGTCTTCACAAGACTCTTGTGTCTGGTCTCCTCGCTTACAACTCGGCCTCTCCCCACTCAAGCCATATCTAGCCATACTTGACCTCTTCAGTGCCTAGAATACATTTCTCTTCCTCAGGAGAAACACTCTTTGTTCCACCTTCATCTGGCCAACTCCTTATCGTTCAAACTCCATTTTAGATGCTCAAGAAAGCCTTCCCTCACTACCTAGATTGGGATATCTGTCTTATTTATTTAGTGTTCTCTCTTTATCCCTTTATAACACATTCATGACATTTCCTCTCTCAAATCTGATCACCATTTGAAGATGGAAAGAATCATATTTCTCTTGTTGATCTAGCAAAATGCTGACACAGAGCAGATATAGGTATTAATAAATACATATGTTATATATTAATATGTATAAATTCACTTGTCTCCTTTACTCACATTTTCTTTTTTTCTTTCTTTAGTCTACTTGGAGTTATAGTTGTCAATGGTGACTAGCCCCTCCAGCAACAAGTAGAAGATAGGAGCTAGCTAATTTCTGCTTTAGAATTTGAAGGGAGAGTATATGTACATGTATGTATTTGACAGCCAGAGTGGTAATTAAGATAGGTTGAAGTTCCCTTTTATAGCTTATAAAGCCAGAAATTTCATCTAAGAACCATGACCTTGCACTTGGATTGACTCTTTTTTTTAAGGCTATGGGATTTTAATGGCACAGATGAAAAAAAAAAAAAACCACATCATTTGTTCCAAGTATACTTGACATCTTAAAACCAGGTAGATCACTGGTCTTTTTTAAAGAGTCTAGCATTTACATGTCATGGAAAGGAGTTTTAAAGCTACAGAATTCAAATATCTTACCCTGAAGGGAAATAATGGTGACTTAGAGTTCAGGATTTCTGTGTGTTTGGCTCATAAGGGATCGGCCACCCCATGGTGCCAATTCTCAGGGTGGAAAGAGAATATCGCTGGGAAATTTTCTCATTTCCTCTAAACAGACAGTTTTTACACAGACTAGAATGAGAGCAAAGTATTTTCACTAATTCCCTGTCTTTGCTCCTCTCTGCAAAATCCTCCCATAAACAGTTTCCAGTCAAAACCATTGGGTTGAACTTACCCTCTGCTGCAGATTATTTCTAGGGCTTCCAAGTTCCCATGATAGGCTGCTAGGAGTGTGGGAGTCATGCCATCTTCATCAGAAAGATTCAGATCTCTCTTGGTAGCCTCCTTCAGAAGTTCCAGGTAGCTATCACTAGCAGCTTGGTGATAGCGAGTGGACATTTTTCTGCTCTCCAAAGCTTTGCCAAGTATCACTCTCCAGGCGGAACAGGATGTCAGTGAAGCTGCCTTCCTACAAAGCTGGTTAATCAGTGACAAGGAACAGTGTCAGCCCAGGGCAAAGCTCACTCCAGCCTCCCTCCATGGAAAGCAGCCAGAAAAATTCACAGCTCTGAACTTAGACCTTTTCTCTCTGGAATGGCCATGACATTGAAAATTGAAGACTGCTGTGTTCATCTTGAATGTCTTAAAAGAGACACATATTTCTTGTCTCTTAACAAGTTTTGAATATAATATTGGTCATCTAGGCACAGAATGAAGAAAATAATTTCAAAACAACTCAGAACTAGGCTAGCTCACAGGAGTGGTCCATTTTTTCTAAAGTGCTATATTGGGGTATAATTTACATATTATGAAATTCATCCATTTAAAGTGCAAAATTCAATGATTGTTACCAAATTTTGAGTTGTGTAACTGTCATCGTGAAACCAAGCAGGCCCCTGTAGGAACTTCCCAGAGACAGACCCCCTCCTTACCAGTCTATTACCTCTTGTTTGTAGAAAAGCTGTAGCTTTCTAGGCCTTTCCAAGCTCTAAAGAGCAAATTTAATCAGAGAAGAAAGAAAAGGTAGAAACAAAGAAAAAGTCAAGCAAAACAAAACAATAATTGTTTAGCCATAAAACAAAGTTAAGGGCATTTAGTTCCTCCTTAATGCTTATAGATAATATCCTAAACAACATGCTTGAGCTATTTTGCAGACACTAAACCCCTCACCAGGTGGAAAAGGTTAACTGCATGCTGACCATCAACACATAGACTCCAAACCAGTTGGAACCAGAAGGTTGATGATTGAGATTTTCAAAATATCACCCTGTTACTTTACCATCAACCAATCAAGAACTGTGGATGAGCTGGTCACAAAACCTGTGACACTTTCCCACACACTGTCTTTAAAAACCCTTCCCTGAAAGCCACTGGTGAGTTTGGGTCTTTCAAGTAAAAGCTTTTGCTTGGCACCCTGCAATAAATGCTGCATATTCCTTCACCACAACCTAGTATCAGTAGATTGGCTTTGCCACACAGACAGTGAGCAAACCCAACTTCTGTTTGGTAACAACCATAATCCAGTTTTATAACATATTTGTAACTCCTGAAATATCCCTAATGCTAATTTGTAATCACTCCTCTTTCCCACTCCCAGCCTCAGGAAATCACAAATCTGTTTTCTATCTCTACAGATTTGCTATTGGTAGGTATTTCACGTAAATGGAATCATACAATGTATAACCTTTTGTGGCTTCACCTAAATTTTTGAGGTGTATGCATTTTACAGCATGTAACATTATTTCCTTCCCTTTTATTTCTGAATAATATTCTACTATACTAATACACCAAATTTTCTTTATTCTTTCAACAGTTGATAGACATTTGAACTGTTTCCACATTTTGTTTTTATGAATACTGCTACCATGAATATACAAGTTTTTATGTGGACATATACTTTCACATATCTAAGATATAAATCAACAAATGAAATTGCTCAATTATATGGCAATTTATATTTAACTTTTTAAGAAATTGACAAATTGTTTTCCAAAGTGACTGTATAGATTTTCATTTCCGTTAGCAATGTATGAAACTGTTCAGTTCAGTCACTCAGTCATGTCCGACTCTTTGTGACCCCATAGACTGCAGCATATCAGGCTTCCCTGTCCATCACCATCTCCTGGAGCTTGCTCAAACTCGTGTCCATGAAGTTAGTGATGCCATCCAACCATCTCATCCTCTGTCATCCCTTTTTCCTCCTGCCTTCAATCTTTCCCAGCATCAGGGTCTTTTCCAATGAGTCAGTTCTTTACCTCAGGTGGCCAAAGTATTAGAACTACGGCTTCAGCATCAGTCCTTCCAATGAATATTCAGGACTGATTTCTTTTACGATGGACTGGTTTGATCTCCTTGCAATCCAAGGGACTNGAATTTCCCACAGTTTACTGTGATCTACACAGCCAAAGGCTTTGGTGTGTGACACTGTTAGGGAAATTGAAATGAAGAAAGTCTTGTTCAGTCTTCAGAAGCAGGAAAGCAGGCTTCTGGCCTTGCTGCTGACCTGCCTGTACACTACCCAGACTCCATGCCTGCCTGCAAGCACGGAAAGTCAGGCAGCGCTTTAGATAAGAAAGTAAGTGGCTCTTGGAATTCTTGAGCCACTGGAGGTCTGGCCAACCACTTGGGGTCTAAAGAAACCCTTTGACTCACAAGATAAATAACACCGTAAAAAGGTTAAAGTAAAACAGGAGCTGCATTTTAGTGTACAAACTGATGATGATATCAGTTTGTAACCTGGGATTATAAGCTGGAGCCCCTGAAAATGCAATCTGAAGTCTCACCAGTGGAGTGGATACACTGCCCAGGGTCATTTCCTAACTAGGACTCCACACTGCTATTTACGAGGGACTTCCCAGTGCTGTTTAATTCTGGATGTTGGTCTGTGCAATTTGGTGATGTATGTGCTGTTAATTCTCTCTATTGTTTCTATTTCTTTTATTTTAATGACTGTATATTGAAGTTAAGTCAAATAATCTTCAACAAAAATTCAAATTGTTCATTTGTGTGTAATGAGTGGTTTCTTTTGTTAACAAATCCTTTGACTCTAAAATGAAAGTAAAACTTTTGGCAAAACGGGCTTCAGACTTTTTCATATCCTTGCAGCCTTTATTATTTGCCTTTTCATTTAAAGTTATCTTAGTGGGTATTTAAATATCCACTGTTTAAATTAAACACTGTTGTTTAAATATCTTTTTCCTAATGAGTAACAATGTTGATATGGTTTTAAGTGCTTATTAGCTATTCTTACATTTTGTCTTTAAAAATTTTGTTTATTAGTTTGTCTTATTATTATTGAATTATGAGTTCTTTATATGTCCTAGATAAAAATCCTTTATCAGATATAGTTTGAACTTAATGAAAATGAAAACAAACATTTCAAAATTTACAGGACACAATTAAAACAGAACTGGGGGAATTTTGTAGTTTTTAATGCTTATGTTACTAATAGAAAAGAAGAAAAATCTCAAATCATTAACTTAAACTTTTGCCTTATGGAAAGAAGGGAAAGAACAGAAAAATTAGTGTAAATAAAGAACACAGTATAAAACCAAAACATGGTTCAAATTTATCTGTAATCAAAGTAAATGTAAACAGACCAAATTCACCAGTTAGAAGACTCAGCCATGTCTTATTTGTAATAGACACACTTAAAATATAAAATTGAAAAAAAAATGAAAGCAAAAAAGGAAAAGTTATATCAAGAAAATACTAACAACAAATTGTGTAGCTATATTTATATCAGACAAAAATGTAGTTTAAGCTAAACAATTACCAAGGATAAAGAGATAGTGATGAAAGGAAAAATTTATCAAGAAAATATGATAGTTCATACTAAACTTGGTATGTACCAAGTAATATAGCCTCAAAATAGAAAAAAAACAAATATTAATAGAATTTAAAGAGAAAGAACAAATCTGCTATCATAGCAAGAGATTTTTAACACACTCCCTTAATATTATATGTCAATCAGACTAAAGATTAGGAAAGGTATAAAAAATTTGGATACAGTTAAAAAGTTTTATCTAACAACCCTATATAGAACACTGTATTCAATAGAAAATGCATGTTCTTTAAAAGCACACTAAGAATATTTGTAACATTCTGTTACATAAATAGAACCTAATAGAACCCATGCAGGCCTCAACAAAATCAAATAGTAGGTTTCATGTAGATCATATTCTCTGAAAACATTGCAATAAAATTAGAACCCATCATCCTTATACAATTGATTAACTGTTTATATGTTTTTTGTGATATAAACTTTGCATCGTTGTCATCATCTTGCATTGTATTTTTTCCTCTCTTTAATGCACTATAAATATGTCCCACATTGTTACAAAATAGCTAATATGCTTGGATAATAGTTCATGGTATTGATGTGAGAAAGGTATATATTTGAAGTCTGTAACTGTTTATTCCTCATCTATTTTGTTCAAGTCTTTATTCTAAGATAAAACCCACTCTGAAAAAGCAAAAGCTTTCATCTGCAAATCCTTACAATAGTTAGCTCTAGAGGTCAATATTTGTTTCTTTCTTTTTTTTTTTTTTTTGTTTCTATGAGAACAGTGGAAGCTGTAGAAGCAAAACCTGGAAGGCAACATTATTTATTTGCTTTTTAAAAAAAGGAATCTTTTTTTATCCTAGAAAAAGTGAAATATCCAAACATGACTGTGGATCCTTTCAGAACAAGGTAACATTGTTTCTGTATCATTTTTGCCTGAGCCACTAAAATTTAGACACAATTGCATTCATTAATGTATTCTAAAATAGAAAATCATATGTAACCTGAGAAAGGGCTTCTTAAAGATAAATGGATTAATAGAATGCTCTGTTCTACTATGCAGTATTGTATTGTATTCTATTCTACAGTAATAGAATGATAAGTGCCAATCATAGAAGGAGTCTGCTGACAGATAAAGATCATGATGGTGAAAATAATGACAATGGTAAGGATGATGAGAAGAGAAGAGTAAGAATTAGGGTAGAAGCAAAGGAAAAGGAAGTCAGAGCAATTATAAAGGAGAGAAATAAGGACTGCAAATGGGAGACAAACAGGAGAAAGAAGAGTTTCTCAACTCCAGTAGTACTTATGACTTGGACTTAAACTCTCCCTATGAAATGGTAAAGCAACTGAGATACACACACTCATGTATATTTGTTGTTGTTTAGTCACTCAGTCATGTCCAACTCTTTGCAACTCCATGGATTAGAGCCTGCCAGGCCCTCTTTCCTTGGGATTTCTCAGGCAAGAATACTGGTGTGGGTTGCCATTTCCTTCTCCAGGGCATCTTCCTGACCCAGGGATATAACTCGGTTTTCCTGCATTAGCAAGCGTATTCTTTACCACTGAGCCTACCACCTATATATATAGGCTTCCCTTGGCACCCTTTGGCATCTCCCTAAGAAAACTTCCTAGAGAAGATTGGATGGGGAGGGAGAAGGGAAATAGAAATAAGTATTTCAGAACTTGTAACTCCTCTTTACCTCATTTCTTAAAGAGGAGGTTGAGAAAGAGAGTTGAACTTGGAGCTGGATAGAGTCCATATGGTCTAATGCAAGTTATTCCATCTATTTGAGTCTCTCTTTCTTTGTGGATAAAGTTGGAGGAAATTGCT